CACACACACACACACAACTACAACTACAACTAAACTACAACTAGGCTGTAGAGGGACGGAAACCGCCAAGTCTGGATCCAAAGGTGACTCAGACAACTCAGAGTGGGTGGGCTTTGGGACCCCTTTTATCCCCAAAAGTCCTTTCTTTGTTGATTCACAAGTCTGGCAGTTGTTGATGGGATTGGGGTTTCCATGTGCTCGGGCCCAACTTCCTTTTTCTGGTTCAGGTCCTTTGTTTTTTCCTTAGCGACTTGCTTCCTTCTTATCTAGCTCCCTGAAGGGATCTCATAGATAAGTTTCCTGGCTTTTGTCCTCTCTGCTTACGTGCCTGCTTCATCTTTAGGTTATGACAGCTTCAGCTTAGTTTCACAGTGGTAGTCAATAGTGTCTCTGTTATGTACAGATAACAAAGCTGCCATTGTAACTTATAATTTCACACTCTTCTTTCCCATGCCTAAAATTTTGGAATTACGTTTTAAAAGATTTATTTCCTAGCATACCAAATACATAAGTATTTTTTAAGAATGACCACTTTTCACAGTTAAAACCACAAATTCGGTTTTGGTCACTTTGAAAGGATTTTCCTTTCCTTCAGAATTTTACAAAGCAACTAGAGCTCCAGGGCATGAGATACTCCTACCACTTCTCTTAGTAATGTATATGTTATTATTTTCTTCCTTCTCCCCACCATGAACCTGCCTTAAGTTTGTATTTTGGTTAAATGGGTAGATATTCATGTTTCTAATCCATTTTTATATCTCTGTAAGAAGACCGGTAGTAACCATGAATGGCCAGCTGGATTTGAGTGGAAAGCTTATAATTAAAGCTCAGTTGGGTGATGATATTAGAAGAATTCCAATTCACAATGAAGATATCACCTATGATGAGCTGGTGCTGATGATGCAGAGAGTTTTCAGGGGGAAACTGCTGAGCAATGATGAAGTTACAATAAAATATAAGGATGAAGGTAGGATTTTCTTACCCTCCCATATTCTAGTGTTACCTAATAGTGAAAAAGCTTTATGGAGTTCTTCCACTTTTCTTATGGAACACATCTTTTTCTAGTGCATGCAGAGCTTAATGGAATTACAAAAAACAGTAATGCCAATGCCATTAGATCTTACTTACTTACATTGAATCTTGCATTGTATGATTACTATATGATTGTATGATTAAATTGCAACAACAGATTTTCTGTATGTAGTATGTTTTATACAGTAATACTTGTATATGGATTTCCTACTTTGTTTTATCCTCTTCTGTATTGGGCCATTGGCCACATGTTTGAAACCAGTCTAAAACCCCTGTTTATCTTAAATGATACAAGTGTAGTGTATATAGGATAGTGAGATAGGAATAATGCAGCACTAAGGATTAGGAGCCAGTTACACAGGAAAGGCTTTGCAGTATGAAACTTACTAACTCAGTGGAGTGGCCTTGTACTGGAGAGGCAGGTAGATGAAAGAAACATGTAGGAAAGATAACCTGTCCTTGATGAATTGGTTGGGCAGTGATGAAGACCCTTACAGGATGCTGAATTAGAGTTTCATAGAGTTTCAACACTGCTAATAAAACTTTTACACAGTACTGTATGTACTTGAATTATATTTACACTAGATAAGTATATATAGAATTGTAACAGTTGTAATGATATACTATTTTTTGTTTTTCTTTTGTCACCTTTTTTTTAAAGCACTCTGTGTTTCTTTTTTTGAGAATGTATGTATTTGCATTATAATTATTTTTGTGAGGTTTTTTTGTTTTCCTTGTTGGTTATTATTTTAAAATAAAATCAATAAAAAATAAATGGCAAAGAGGTATTATGCTTGTACTAGATCCAGAACACTTCTTTCAAATAATTTTCAAACTACGCACAGCTCTGTTAAGTAGCATGGACTTATGTTGTTGCATTATATAATTGTTACTCCCTGAATAAGATTAGTACCATTTCTTGTTATTTACTGACCGGCAATAATTGCATTTTGGAGCTTTATCCTGTAAAAAATACTGTGAATGGTTACAGTGCAACCCTAAGTATTATATGCCTGAGGCACCTTTCAGCAGAGTTTGCTATGAATACCTTTAATTACCTCCACTTAAAAATTTAGTTTTTTTAATTTTGCCACAGTGATATCTGTGCTTAACGTCTCAGTAACATAGGCCATTTTCTACATTTTCTACTGTTTGATTACATTAGCTCAATTTTCAGCTCTTCCACATGAAATGTAATCCAACACTGAACATGTATTAAAATTGGCTCTTTCTTGAAATAAGAGCTTGAATAAATCTCCCCTGTTTTTGCAGTCTAATTCAGGGCACACTTATTTCCATTAAATATTTTGTAAGTTTTATGGAGCTGTTTTGAAGTAAGGCAGCATAGAAAATGCCAGTAATAAATGAACAGAAATAGAGTCAGAGAAAACAATATCAGACCTGGGTCAGATGTTGGCTCATGCCACTGTACCAGTCATTGGTGGTGGTGTAACCTGTTTGTTTTTATGTAAGCTGAGTATCAGATTAAATTGGCTTTGACTAGAGGAAAAAATAATGCTTATTTTTCCCCTACTTTTTGCTGATTGTTTTCTGTTATGTTTTCTTAATGGGCCTCATTTGCTTAATTTTTTTTTAATATGTTCTTTATACTAATTAGGAGGTAACTTTTTCATATAACCAATCTTTAAAGAAGGGCAGTTTTCTTGGGTTTACAACATAACTGATTAAATGTTCTATTTTGGAGAGCATCTTGTCTTTTGAAGTTAAAATAAACTACAAGAATTGTATGGTTCAAATATGCATTTTAAGCGAGGTAGGGGAGACATTTTCAAACACTGATACCACAATCTCCTAAAATAATAAATGAAATATGTTTCAGTCCCTGTGAATAATATTAATTTCGTTAAGGTTAGATTTGGACCAGAAAAAGAATATACTGCGTAACATTCAATATTTAATCTATATACAGTTTTTTTGGTTGAGGTTATTGCTGCCGGGGGTGTGAGGGGGTCAAGCAGTTATTGATTCCAAGGGTTCACTTACTTTTTTCACTAGCATTTTGAATGTTGAATGAGTGTGTTCAATAAAGACATGAAGGATCAGAATTGTT